AGCTAATTTTTTGTATTTTTAGAAGAGACGGGGTTTCACTGTGTTAGCCAAGATGGTCTCGATCTCCTGACCTTGTGGTCTGCCCACCTTGGCCTTGCAGAGTGCTGAGATTACAGGTGTGAGCCGCCGTGCCTGGCTCACCCTCTCTCCTTATTGCACAGCCTTTGCCCAGGCAGTCTTGCCCACTCTCACGGCTCAGCCTGTCACCAGCGTTCACGTCTCATGCACCCATCTTCGCGCGCTCTCTCTGGAGGCTCGGGATCTGACATTGGGTGGACATCTGCATTTGGACATTCAAGGCCACTGCACACTAGAAACCGTTGCTCCTGAAATCTGGCCCTGTTTCAGTCTTCCACCACTGCTGGCCATGCTCCACAACCCCCTTCCATCCCCGCTTCCAGTCCACCCCCAAGCCCTGCGGACTCTTCACCCAGAATGCGAGTGTCCCAAATCCGTCTCCTCTTGAGCTCCACGGCCACCATCCTGGGAGCTCCAAGCTACCATCATGGTCTTCTCACCAGCCTACTAGACCTCATCACAGTGACTGGCGCTGCGCTCTGGACAGCGCAGGCTTCAAAGGCTGGCAGAGGTGAGGGCCAGGGTGCCACTGGGATTGTATAGGGAATGTTTATTTTTAATTAATTTGTTATTTAATTTTTTTTTTTTTTTTTTTTTTTGCGATGCAGTTTTGCTCTTGTTACCCAGGCTGGAGTGCAATGGTGCGATCTCAGCTCACCGCAACCTCCGCCTCCTGGGTTCAGGCAATTCTCCTGCCTCAGCTTCCTGAGTAGCTGGGATTACAAGCACGTGCCACCATGCCCAGCTAATGTTTTGTATTTTTAGTAGAGACGGGGTTTCACCATGTTGACCAGGATGGTCTCGATCTCTTGACCTTGTGATCCACCCGCCTCGGCCTTCCAAAGTGCTGGGATTACAGGCATGAGCCACCACGCCCAGCCCTACTTATTTAATTTTTTTTTTTTTTGAGACGGAGTTTCGCTCTTGTTACCCAGGCTGGAGTGCAATGGCGCGATCGCGGCTCACCGCAACCTCCGCCTCCTGGGTTCAGGCAGTTCTCCTGCCCCAGCCTCCTGAGTAGCTGGGATTACAGGCACGCGCCACCACACCCAGCTGATTTTTGTATTTTTAGTAGAGACGGGGTTTCACCATGTTGACCAGGATGGTCTCGATCTCTTGACTTCGTGATCCACCCGCCTCGGCCTCCCAAAGTGCTGGGATTACAGGCTTGAGCCACTGCGCCCGGCCTACTTATTTAATTTTTAATTAAAAAAATTTTTTTTGAGACGGCGGTTTCACCATGTTGGCCAGGCTAGTCTTTTTTTTTTTTTTTAAATTTTTTTTTCAGACAGAGTTTCACTCTTGTTGCCCAGGCTGGTGTGCAATGGCTCAATCTCAGCTCACCGCAATCTCCACCTCCTGGGCTCAAGCAATTCTCCTGCCTCAGCCTCCCGAGCAGCTGGGACTACAGGAGTGTGCCACCATCCCCAGCTAGTGTTTTGTGTTTTGTTTTTTTTTTTGTATTTTTAGTAGAGACGGGGTTTCACCATGTTGACCAGGATGGTCTCGATCTCTTGACCTCATGATCCACCCGCCTCGGCCTCCCAAAGTGCTGGGATTATAGGTGTGAGCCACCATGCCCCGGCCGGCCAGGCTAGTCTTAAACTCCTGACCTCAAGTAATCTGCCTGCCTCGACCTCCCAAAGTGTTCAAAATACAGGTGTGAGCCACTGAGCCTGGCCTAATTTTTGTATTTTTAGTGGAGACAAGGTTTTTGTTTTTGTTTTTTTAATTTTTAACTATACATGAAGCTTAAGAGATAAGGTTTTACCATCTTGGCCAGGCTCATCTGGAACTCCTGACCTCAAGTGATGCACGCACCTCGGCCTCCCAAAGTGCCAACATCTGCGCCCGACCTCCTGAAATAGTCTACACCCCACTTTTACACAGACATATAGTTCTCCTGACCACCTCCCACTGACCACCCAAGTCTTGGCTCTGCCGCTTTCTCATGGAGGCCTTTGGAGATGCCCATCAAACCAGAGTCCCGTCCTCTGTCTCACTCCTGGTTGCCCTTTTCCTTCAAACTGCTTCATGCCATGCACATCTGGCCGCCTGTGATGGCAGATACCCACCACCCAGAGCATCTCACCCCAGCTCATCCATAAGCTGGGCAAGTCCAAGGCCTGGGTCTGGCTCACAGCTAGTGTGCAGTCAGTAGTAACTGAGCTTGTAATAACGAGCGAGTTAGAAGGAATGCGCCCCACACTGAGTTCCAAATTAAGAGTCCTTTATTAATTAGCTGGCAATCGAGAGACGGCTAATGCTCAAAGTTCTCTCGGCCCCGAGGAAGGGGCTTGATTTCCCTTTATACCTTGATTTAGGTAGGGGAGGGGGTACCTAGCTGAATCGGAATTTTACAGAAGCAGAACAGGCAAGTTAGCTAGTAACCAGGCGGGAGGAGGTTCCCAGGATTGTTGGTTACTAAGGGTATTTCCAAACAATCCCCAAAGGAGGGGTTCAAAGAGAGTTATACACAATAGCAGGTGTGCCTACCAAGCAGGACGCAGTTACATTGGTTACATGGTGGGATGGAGTCAGCATGACATAAGCACAGCGTCAGTGTGGTCCCGTTATGCACCCAAAGGGGCGGCGGTAGGGAGGGGGAAGGTAGGTTGGAGTTTACAGCTAAGATGGAGTCAGTGATGCTAGCTCAGGGTAGGTCATTACAAGCTGAAGCCCCAGCGAGGCAGTGGGGTGTTGAAGCCTCAGCCACCACCACTGAGGGAGCCAAGGGTGTTCTGGAAAAGAGAAGCTTCGGGGATCCACTGGCCTTCACATTCCCTGTTGGGAAAATGGGCACAGGTATTTGTGGAGGGGGGGAAGCTCTCCAGCGAGGGCAGAGGCCTGGCGTCAGCAGTTCAGCAAAGGGCGCTCCTGTGGGTCGGAACAGGTGGCCTCTGGGTCTTCCAGCCCCCAGAGCCTGTGATTTGGCCTGGATCAAAGGCCCCTCTGGACATTCTGGTGAATTTGCTTGTCAGCCTGCTTCCCTACCCTGAATCTGCTGGCCAAGTGGTTGGGAGGGCCCAGCGGGGTGCAGAGTGGGAGGAATGACCTGGTTCACCCCCACACTCACCCGCTGCTCTGAGCCCCTGTGGAACCGAAACTTGTTGGGTCTCCAGGCTTTGGCTGGACCTGGGTCCTGGCTCCAACTTGCCCTGTGATCCAGTTTCTCCTTCCCTGTATGACTGATTTCACAGAACCTGACACGTAATAGGACTGGATATTTACCAGGTGGAAACAACTGTGTGACAGTTTTGTCAAGACAGGACAGCAGCATGCCTTGTCAGTGCGCTTTGATGTCCATTGCCCAGGTCCACATCATGGCTTTACCATTTACAAGCTGTGTGACCTTGGGCACGTTGCCAAACCTCTCTGTGCCTTGGTTTTCCTCTAAAACAGGGGTAATAATGATTTCTTCTGAGGTCATTGTGAGGGTGACAGGAATCAATCAGTGTAAAGCACTGGGTAAATGCTTGCTAAATGCTCAGGTGCTCAGCCTGGATTTTTTCGATGTCAGAGGGTTGCCTGGTGAGGGAGGGACTGGGAGTGCCATGGGATTTCAGGGTCCAGAAGAAGGTGGGGAGGGGGACAGCTTTCTTGAGCACCCATTATGTGGCATGCGCTTTTGTGACAATCCACATCTGGCCCTGCGGGCAGGCATCGCAATGTTTCGTTCGCCGATGGAGCCACCGAGGCTCAGAGAATCTGGTGACTTGCTAGAGCCGAGCAGGACTGAGCCCGGTTCCAGCCCAGCTCTGTGTGATCCGAGGCTGCTAATCTTGCCCACTTGCTCCCTGGTGCACTGACTGAAGACAAACTGGGCAGGGCCCTGTGGCCGGGGGCCAGGTGGGCTCTGGGCTGCTGCATCTGAAATTCAGGGGAGGAAATCAAGAGGGAGCCATGTTCAGCCTTGAGTGAAATGCACCTTATCGATCACTTACTTTGGGCTGGGGACGTGACGTGCATGATCTCATTTATCCTCATTACAGTCTTAAGAAGTCGCTCTATTATTAGCTTCTCCTAAAGATGGGGCGTGCAGGGACTAGAGAGGTTAAGTGCCTCACCTAAGGTCACACGGGCACAAAATTGTTTAGAGGCTCCAGAGCTGAAGCCACTGCACCCGGAGCGGGGCTCCCGAGACTCAAGAAGAGGAGGGAGTCAGGCCTCCCAAGGACAAGGGACTGCAGGGCTTGTGGAGGGCCATGGCAGGTGGGGACCCTGCCACAGTTTCCCCTGTGGCTCAGTCTGTCTTTGGCACCCCTTACTCTTTGAGGGGCACAGCTCAAAGAGCCGTGGACCTGGGGTCTTGAGTTCTCTTCCTCCCTGAAAAGGTCCACGTGTTGGCATGGAAAGCCCCTGTACTCCAATCAAACCAGACCTGAGGGCCTCAGCTGGTGTGGAACAGACTCTGTGCTCCACAAAGGCTGGGAAATGGGGCAGTGGTGTTAATTCTATTTCTGCCTTTCTTTCCTTTTTTTTGAGACAGAGTCTCAATCTGTTGCCAGGCTGGAGTGCAGTGGCGATCTCAGCTCACTACAGCCTCCACCTCCAGGGTTCAAGCGATTTTCCTGCCTCAGCCTTCCAGGTGGCTGGGATTACAGGCACCCACCACCACACCTGGTTAATTTTTGTATTTTTAGTGGAGATGGGGTTTCACCATGTTGGCCAGGCTGGTCTCGAACTCCTAACCTCAGGTGATCTATCCACCTTGGCCTCCCAAAGGGCTGGGATTACAGGTGTGAGCCACCACGCCTGGCTAATTCAGTACTTCTTCCAGGGAAATCCTTCACCCTTTAGGACCTGTCCTGTGTGTGCTGAATTATGCTGTAGGCCCCATCAGGGCAACGCAGGGCACCCCCACTACCCTGCGCTGGCCCCCTCTGGTAGGATGTTTGCTGGAGAGTTGGCCTCCCCCTCTAGCCCCAGGAGGGTTCAGGGATGGCTGGGGGTGAGGAGTCTCAGGAACGTCCCCATCTCTTACCTGACTCCAAGCTGTGTCTGGGTGCCTTATTTTGTACATCTTCCCAGCTCTCCTGCCAGGGAACCGTGGTGGCTCCCCCAACCCCACCTCACAGGCAGAGGGAAGGAACTTCTGGGCTGAGCACGTGAGCGGTGGAGGCAGGAGTGGAAGGGGTCCCCAGCTCCCGGCCAGCGTTCTCCCGTCATCAGCAGCTGCATCTTTGTCATCACCGTCATCAACATCAGTTTTTTGCATTTTACCTGCAATGCAATGATTCGTGGTGGTTGCCATGATCACTCAGCAGTGGCCTGGTGAGGAAGGTACCAGTATTGTCATCTCCATTTTGCGGATGAGAAAACAGGTTCAAAAGGGATATTCTGGGAGGTGACAGAGCTGAGGCTGAGAGCCAGGCCTTGCCACCCCAAACATACAGGTTTAACCAGCACATTTTTCATGGCCTCATGCAGAGGCCAGGCACTGCCGATAGCCAGTGAGGGCTGAGAGCTCCGAGGAGCAGGGTCAGAGAGCCTCGGGGGCTCAGTGTAGGCCTGGAGGGATGGGGAGAGCCTGGGGGTCCCAAGTTGAGCAGGGTGATATGGCAGGAGAAGGAGACTCAAAGCCAGAGGCTGGGGACCGGGTGAGCCAGGGACCTGGAGCCAGTCAGACTCAAGTTAGATTTCCAGCTTTGTCACTGCTGTTGTGTGACCCCCAAGCTCAGCAGCCTCCCAACCCCCCGGCAGCTCTGCAGCCTGCAGTTCTTCAGCTGGGGAAGAGAAATAACAACCCTTCTTGATGCTGTGGTAGGTGCTTAATAAATACTTGTTAAATACACAAAGGATTCAGTGATGTTTCAGTGAGCGAGAGGAGGCAGCGCCTGGCATGGAGTTGGCAGAAATTCTCTGAGGGGCTGGGGAGAGAGGATGACTGGCTCCTCAGGGCCCCAGGGCTGAGCTCTGTGACCTCCAGCAAGTCACATCGCCTCCCTGGCTGTCTCACCCAATAACAGTCACCTCGAAGGCTGGTGGTGGGATGACATGAGACGCATGACCACCCAGCAGGCTGGCACTGGCCACTGCTCCCGAGGCTTGAGCTGCCCACTCCTGTCTAAAAGAGCAGAGTTTCAGGCAGGGCTGGAGCTGCTGCCTGCATGTGGCAGGGCCTGGTGGAGGTGCCCCTGCAGCAGCCACCGTGTTTCTGGTCAGTGGCACGGGTCTCGGGGAGGGGGGATTTGCCTTGGAAACCTTCCATGTCACTGAGACCCGCCGAGGCTGCTGCAAGATGGTCAGCTCTTCATTTGCAAAGGGGGTTGTGGGCAAGGACAGAGAAGTTAGTGTCCTAAAATTGTCAGGAAAACCTAAAAGTTGGCAGGGTTGGGGTGGTCTTTCTGCCTCCTCTGGACCCCCAGAAGGCAGAATCTCCAGCCCCTTCCCAATTCCTGAGGATGGGGCAGGATGGCTGGTGTCAGGGGTGACAGCCTGCTGGGCACCTGCATGGCTCCCCTGAGGCCTGAGCTTCCTGCCACAGCTGTTGACTTACTGCACCACCTCCAACACGGCGCCGGGTCCTGTTCTTGGCCTCCGTTTCCGCAGCTGGCCGGTGAAGTCTGGACTGGAGACTTGCAGATTTTGGATGTTTACAGCACAGTGAAATTAAAAGAAGGCTGGACACACTGGCTTATGCCTGTGATCCTGGAATTTTGGGAGGCTGAGGCAGGAGGCTAGCTTGAGACCAGGAGTTTGAGGCCAGCCTAAGAAACTTAGTAAGACCGTACCTCAATAAAAAAAAAAATAGTAAGTTTTTAAAAATTAAAAGAGAAGTCTGGGCCGGGTGTGGTGGCTCACACCTGTAATCCCAGCACTTTGGGAGGCTGAGTCAGGTAGATCACCTGAGGTCAGGAGTTTGAGACCAGCCTGACCAACATGGTAAAACTCTGTCTCTATAAAATAAATAAATAAACAAATACATAAATAAAATAGAAGTCTGGTAATTGGTATAGCATTGTCACGTCTTCATTTTGCCAAGAAAATACATTAACATTTAAAAAGCAATCAGTATCTCCCATCCTCATCACTTCCTAAAGAAATGTTTGCCACTGAAAGAGTCCCAGAATATAAAGGACAGCAGCACCATTGATCTTTTTTTGAGACAGTCTTGCTCTGTTGCCCAGGCTGAAGTGCAGTGATGCAGTCTCAGCTCACTGTGACCCCTGCTGGCTGCGTTCAAGCGATTCTCATGCCCCTTCCTCCCGAGAAGCTGGGATTACAGGCGTGTGCCACCATGCCTGGTTAATTTTTTGGTATTTTTTGTAGACCCGGGATTTTGCCATGTTGCCCAAGCTGGTCTTGAACTCCTGGCCTCAAGAAGTCTGCCCACCTCAGCCTCCCAAATGCTGGCTTTAGAGGTGTGAGCCACCATGCTCAGCCCATTGATCCTTCTTTGGCTTATTTTGCCATGGGCTAGTGGCCCGCACTGGGGGTTTGGGAAACCCCAGGCCCCACCTCACCAATCCCTTTGGTTTTATCATTTATGCCAAGCTCTGTGACCAACCAAAAAGCTGGGCAGGGTGAGTAGTCCCTTAGCTATAGGAGGAACGGACCCCAGGGAGAGGAAGAACTTCTTCAAGGTCATATGCCAGGGTGGTGACAGAGGACCTCTCCACCTCCCAGTGCCTCTATCATAGGAAACATGCCTGAAACTACGTTCTCCTAGTGCACATTCCACACAAGCAAATTAGTCCAGTTCCCTGCATCCACAAAGGGTTAAAGCAGACATCTAAACAACCAAGGCTCTCTTTCTTTCTTTTCTTTTCTTTTCCTTCCTTCCTTTCTTTCTTTCTTTCTTTCTTCCTTCCTTCTTCCTTCCTTCCTTCCTCCCTGCCTTCCTCTCAATTTTTCCTTCCTTCCTTCCTTCCTTCCTTCCTTCCTTCCTTCCTTCTTTTCTTTCTTTCAGTGGAGTCTAGCTCTGTCACCAGGCTGGAGTGCAGTGGTGCAATCTTGGCTCACTGCAACCTCCACCTCCCAGGTTCAAGCGATTCTCCTGCCTCAGCCTCCCGAGGTAGCTGGATTATAGGCACCCACCGCCACACCCAGCTAAATTTTTTTTTGTATTTTTAGTAGAGATAGGCTTTCACCTTGTTGGCCAGGATGGTCTCGATCTCCTGACTTTGCGATCCGCCCACCTCAGCCTCCCAAAGTGCTGGGATTACAGGCATGAGCCACCACACCTGGACGTTTTTTTTTTTTTTTTTTTTTTTTTGAGATGGAGTCTCACTGTGTCACCCAGCCTGGAGTACAGTGGTGTGATCTTGGCTCATTGCAACCTCTGCCTCCTGGGTTCAAGCAATTCTCATGCCTCAGCCTCCTGGGAAGCTGGGATTTCAGGCACCTGCCACCACGCTTGGCTAATTTTTTTATATCTTTAGTAGAGATGGGGTTTCACCAAGTTGGCCAGGCTGGTCTTGAACTCCTGGCCTCAAGGGATCTGCCTGGCCTCCCAAAGTGCTGGGATTATAGGCGTGAGCCACCGCACCTGGCAGGGCTCTTTTTAAAAGAATATCGCTAGTCAGACGAGGATGGTGCTGAATTGTCAAGGCCTCTTAACTCTCTCCTGCCATCACTGGCCTTCCCCAGGAAGCCCATGTGACAAGGAAAAGAAAACCTGGCCATCCCCTGGTGGTTGTCACATGAGAACACAATGCCAAGTTCATATGCTTCTTTTTTTTTTTTTTTTTTTGAGACGGAGTTTCACTCTTGTCCCCCGGGCTGGAATGCATTGGTGCCATCTCAGCTTACTACAAGCTCTTCCTCCCAGGTTCACGGGATTCTCCTGCCTCAGCCTCCCAAGTAGCTGGGATTACAGGCTCACACCACCATACTCGGCTACTTTTTTGTATGCTTAGTAGAGACAGTTTAGTAGAGACACCATGTTGGCCAGGTTGGTGTCAAACTCCTGACCTCAGGTGATCCACCTGCCTTGGCCTCCCAAAGTACTGGGATTACAAGTATGAGCCACCAAGCCCAGCCACTTTTCACTTTTTTGCCAGGCCTTGCATGGGTCAGTCTCAAATTAGTAGCTGAACCTCTCACTCCTTCTAAAACCATCTGTGGTGGCAGCAGCGTGCACGTATTTGAGCAGGTCGCTGCAGACCAAGGGTCTTCAGGGGGATGGGGTGTCACAGGGACTGCTCCATGGGGAAGGGTGCCAGGTCTGAGGAGTGCCAGGGAGGTAGCTTTCCTGCTAAGCTCCAGAATGTGCTGGAAGCACTGGGAACCCCAGACAGGGCCCAGCACACAGCAAGGGCTCAGGACACCTGCTGTGGGCTCTGGAGAAGGTGCCAGGGTGAGGGGTAAACTATGTCCCCATCGGGCTGCACTGTGGAGCCCAGTGGGCTGGTGGGGGCTGGGGATTGTGGAAGCTCAGGGTTGACCCTGGGCACTCGCTAATGGGGAGGAGCAGGCCCTGTTGGCGAGGGGATGCCCAATCTCGGTATCCCATCAGGGGATCGGCTCCCTTGCTCCCTTGTCTGCAGCACCAGGTGAACCCGCTAGGTCAGGAGCCAATCCCCCGGGCAGAGAACCAGGGATCCCCTGGAACCCTGGGCTTATATTTGGCTTTGGGCAAGGCCCCCTGCTCTCTCTGGAGCTCAGTGACCTCACCCATCAAAGCCCCAGGCCGCCACACCCTGTCCCCTCTGCCTCTCTCCTGCACACCTGTGGATGGTGGTCGTTTGGACTGGCTGGTTTCTTCTCTTCTCTTGCCCCAAAACCCACCCCAGGGAGGAAGTGGATGAGGAGCTCTTGGGGTGCGGGGGATGAGGAGGCCTTGCTCAGGGCTGGCCCATCTGGCCCCACTCTGGGACTCTTAGCGAGTCCTTCCTATCTCTGGATCTCCTGGGCCTCAGACATAAAATGAGGGTCCTGAACTCGGGGACCTGATGCTCCTGCCCTGACAGTCCTCAAGGCATTTCAAGCAGTGGAATAGAACAGGGGGAAGATCTTCAGCCAAGTAAAGCCTCCCTGAAAACTCTATTTACAGAGCAGAAGGTGCTCATGGCCCCAGACCCCAGGGTTTCCCCCTGGAGCCCTGGCTGCTGGGATGCTGTGGGAGGGACACGGAGGGTGTGGGCCTCCCAGCTGTGAAGAGCCAGCATCATGTTAGAGGCCACGCCTGCGTGACCCTGCCTGTCTCCCGCATATCTCATTGGCCCCATTTTCTTTCCTTTTCTTTTTTTTTTTTTAGAGATGAAGTCTCACTCTGTCGCCCAGGCTGGAGTGCAGTGGCACGATCTTGGCTCACTCCACCTCTACTTCCCAGGTTCAAGCAATTCTCCTGCCTCAGCCTCCCTAGTAACTGGGATTACAGGCATGTGCCACCATGCCTGGCTAATTTTTGTATTTTTGGTAGAAAAGGCGTTTCACCATGTTGGCCAGGCTGGTTTTGAACTCCTGACCTCAGGTGATCCACCTGTCTTGGCCCCTCAAAGTGCTGGGATTACAGGCGTGAGCCACTGTGCCCAGTCAGCCCCGTTTTCGAGATGAGGAAACAGGTTCAGAGTAGTCAATAGCTTGCCCAAGTCTCACAGTGAATCTGGGGCTTCTGGCCGAGTGCGGTGGCTCACGCCTGTAATCCTAGCACTTTGGGAGGCTGAGGTGGGTGGATCACCTGAGGTCAGGAGTTCAAGACCAGCCTGGCCATCATGGTGAAACCCCATCTTAAAAAAAAAAAAAAAAGTTAATGAGAATCTGGGGCTTCAACCCAGGACTGTAGGAGCCAGGGAGCTCTTTGGGAACCAGGGGAGTAAGGGGAAGAACTCGAGTCAGGGTGGGTGACTGCGGGGGAGGGGGGGGGCAGGGCTCACTCTCCCTGGGCCGGGAGAGGGAGTTTCTCTGGGAAAGAGGCAGGCTCTGAGGCTGTTGATCTCTAAATTATAGCGTTGGCGCGTACCAGTTGCTGCGGCAACCGAGTTGTCCTGAACCGGGGAAGTGTATAAACATTGCCACAGATGCACAATTAGATCAGGAAGAAGAATAGAACAGAAAATAGAAATTCCAGCCTTATGTAATTCTGGGCCAAAATGTTATTGGGAACCCAGGCCCAGTCCTGGCCCTGCCAGCTGCTGGCGCCCGGGGCAGCACTGTGTCTTCCCTGGGGACCCAACGGCTGGGAGGGGCAAAGAGAGCATCTGTCCTCTACGGGTGCTGTGCACATCCTGCCACCCAGTGGAGGGAGAGGCCCCCTCTGCTGCAACAGCTGGGGATGCTTGACAGGCAAATCCTGCCTGTCACCAGCTCCTGGGAAGTGTGGGAAGGAAAGCAGCAGGATGATGGCTTTAACCCAGCGCCCACTGTCCCCATAGGTCCCATGAGGTAGGGAGTTTTGGTCCCCATGTTAAAGATGAGGACATCGAGGCTGATAGAGGTGAACAGAGGTTCCCGAGGTCTGTCCTCCCCTCCCACTCCCTGTCTCCCCGCCATCCACTCATCAGTGTTGGTACCACGTGACTTCTTATCCACTGTCAGCTTCGTGGCCTTGGGCAGGTCGCTTTCCCTCTCTGAGCCACCTGGGACATGGGAATATCGATGTCTACAGAGGAGTTGAAGATGAGGGCTCCCCCGTCCTCCATCCTGACTGTCAAGTCGGATTCTTTCCCAACTGCTGCTCCAACAATTTGGGGTCCTGGCTGGGAATTTGGGCTGAAGGATTCAAAGCAACTGTGGGAGGGAAGAGTCTAAGAAAGGAGCTCATACCCAGGTGGGGCTGCAGGTCCCAGTAGAACTTTCTTTTTTTTTTTTTTTGAAATGGGGTCTGGCTCTGTGGCCCAGGCTGGAGTGCAGTGTCGTGATCACAGCTCACTGCAGGCTTGACCCCCTGAGCTCAATAGATCCTCCCGCCTCAGTCACCCAACTAGCTGGGACCACAGGCACGCACCTCCACGCCTGGCTAATTTTCTTATTGTTTGTGGAGATGGGGTCTCACTCTGTTGCCCAGGCTGGTCTCGAACTCCTGGGCCCAAAGGATCCTGGCATCTCAGCCTCCCCAAGTGCTGGGATCACAGGTTTCAGCCCCTGTGCGCAGCCAGAAATTTCTGAGTGACAGAACTCTCCTGTGTCTTCTCTGTCCAGTGTGGTGGCTGTTGACTACATGTGGCTCCTGATCACTTGAAATGTGGCTCGTGCAAGGAAGGAGCTGCAGTAACATTTTATTTAGTTTTTTTTTTTTTTTGAAATGGAGTCTCGCTCTGCTGCCCAGGCTGGAGGACAGTGACACAATCTTGACTCACCACAACCTCTGCCTCCCAGGTTCCCAAGCGACTCTCCTGCCTCAGCCTCCTGAGTAGCTGGATTACAGGCTTGAGCCACCACGCCCAGCTAATTTTTGTATTTTCAGTAGAGACAGGGTTTTACCATGTTGGTCAGGCTGGTCTTGAACTCCTGACCTCATGTGATTCACCTGCCTTGGCCTCCCAAAGTGCTGGGATTACAGGTGTGAGCCACCATGCCCTGCCTATTTAGTTTTAATTAAATGTAAAGAGCCACACGTGGCCAGAAGCTATCGCACAGGAGGAAGTTTAGCCCTCAAGAATTTGAAAAGTGCAGAGATGGAATCTAGGGAGGGGAGCAGGCCCAGAGCTTCTGCAGCTCCCTATGCTCAGGGCAAGCAGGGCAGAAGGACAGGGAGAACCAAGATGGGCATCAGGAAGCTTCTAGAACAGTGAGCATAGGAAGGCTGGAGGGACAGTGTTGAGGGGCAGGGATTAGGACCTGGATCCTATGGCTTTAGCTTCCTGGTCTGTGGACCCCAATCTTGAAGCTGGGCCAGGCTCGGGGGCACTGGCTCAGATCCTGTCATCAGAATCACCTCCAGTGCCATCCTCCACCTGCCGGGGCAGAGGAAGTCTTCGGTCCCGGTCCAGGCTCACCTGCTTCTGAGCATCTTGGAGCTGAGTCTGGGTGGCCCCCTGGGGGCCCCTCACTCCCCAGCGTCTCACCTGTCCGGCTTCTCCTCCACAGGCCCTGCGTCTTCCCAGGTGACCACGCCGGCTTCAGGACATGCACGGACACAGCCGCAACGGCCAGGCCCACGTGCCCCGGCGGAAACGCCGCAACCGCTTCGTCAAGAAGAACGGCCAATGCAACGTGTACTTTGCCAACTTGAGCAACAAGTCGCAGCGCTACATGGCGGACATCTTCACCACCTGCGTGGACACACGCTGGCGCTACATGCTCATGATCTTCTCCGCGGCCTTCCTCGTCTCCTGGCTCTTTTTTGGTCTCCTCTTCTGGTGCATCGCCTTCTTCCACGGTGACCTGGAGGCCAGTCCAGGGGTGCCCGCGGCGGGGGGCCCAGCGGGTGGCAGCGGGGCGGCCCCAGCAGCCCCCAAGCCCTGCATCATGCATGTGAATGGCTTCCTGGGTGCCTTCCTGTTCTCTGTGGAGACACAGACGACCATCGGCTACGGGTTCCGGTGCGTGACGGAGGAGTGCCCGCTGGCGGTCATCGCCGTGGTGGTCCAGTCCATTGTGGGCTGCGTCATCGACTCCTTCATGATTGGCACCATCATGGCCAAGATGGCACGCCCCAAGAAGCGGGCACAGACGCTGCTGTTCAGCCACCACGCGGTCATCTCGGTGCGCGATGGCAAGCTCTGCCTCATGTGGCGTGTGGGCAACCTGCGCAAGAGCCACATCGTGGAGGCCCATGTGCGGGCCCAGCTCATCAAGCCCTACATGACCCAGGAGGGCGAGTACCTGCCCCTGGACCAGCGGGACCTCAACGTGGGCTATGACATCGGCCTGGACCGCATCTTCCTGGTGTCACCCATCATCATCGTCCACGAGATTGACGAGGACAGCCCGCTCTACGGCATGGGCAAGGAGGAGCTGGAGTCGGAGGACTTCGAGATCGTGGTCATCCTGGAGGGCATGGTGGAGGCCACCGCCATGACCACCCAGGCCCGCAGCTCCTACCTGGCCAGCGAGATCCTGTGGGGCCACCGCTTTGAGCCCGTGGTCTTCGAGGAGAAGAGCCACTACAAGGTGGACTACTCGCGTTTTCACAAGACCTACGAGGTGGCCGGCACGCCCTGTTGCTCGGCCCGGGAGCTGCAGGAGAGTAAGATCACCGTGCTGCCCGCCCCACCACCGCCTCCCAGTGCCTTCTGCTACGAGAACGAGCTGGCCCTCATGAGCCAGGAGGAAGAGGAGATGGAGGAGGAGGCGGCTGCAGCGGCTGCAGTGGCCGCGGGCCTGGGCCTGGAGGCGGGCTCCAAGGAGGAGGCGGGCATCATCCGGATGCTGGAATTGGGCAGCCACCTGGACCTGGAGCGCATGCAGGCCTCCCTCCCGCTGGACAACATCTCCTACCGCAGGGAATCTGCCATCTGACCTCCAGGCCCAGCCACGCCACTGCCCGCAAGAGCCTCTGCCGGGCGTGGGATGCCAGGATACCCCCTCCACACTCAGGACAGAGCTGACCCTGGCTCCCTGGACCTTCTGGAGGAAGGTGGGGTTTCAAAGACTGGGGGACCCCTTCCTCCTGACCCCAGCACCCAGGCCTGGGAAGAGCTCGGCCCCATCAGCCTGAGTTCCCCCAGCGCCTACTCCTGGTGGCTCTGGGTCCCGGACCCACCACCCTTCCCCCACTGACTCTTCACGGACGTGCCCTCTTTGCTCTCAGAACCTTGGGGAAGGTGGCTGGACCACTGGGTGAGGGACATCTCGGGGTTTCAGGGCGGGCAGGGGGTGAGTTTGGGGAGGGAGGGAGGGGGGTGCGTTTCTTTTGCATGACTGTGGCCTGTTGCTCATGACTTTCTTTTGTAAATATCTATAAATGGAGACAGATGGAGACACCAAATTCACCTTCTGCTGTTTTTACCTACAGGACAAGGAGATGCAGTCCCTCTCTGAGCACCCCTCCCCACCCCGCCCATCAAGCCTAGCCCTGTCCCCTGCTCAGCTGGCTGGCCCCTAGAGGCCCTCAAAGCCAGCCACCTCCGACTTGGATGGTGTTGGGTTTGACTGCACAGGTGGGACGCCGAGGGGCAGGATGAGGGACTGTTCCTCCCTCTCTCCCTGCAGTCCCTCTGGGCACGGGGGCCGCCCAGATTGACAATGGAGTTTGTAACTCTGCGTGTGTGTGTGTGTGTGTGTGTGTGTGTGTGTGTGTGTGTGTGTGTTGTTTTGAGATGGAGTCTCGCTCTGTTGCCCCAGATGGAGTGCAATGACGCTATCTCAGCTCACTGCAACCTCTGCCTCCTGGGTTCAAGCGATTCTCCTGCCTCAGCCTCCCAGGTAGCTGGGATTACAGGCATGGGCCACCACACTCAGCTAATTTTGTATTTTCAGTAGAGATGGGGTTTCACCATGTTGGCCAGGCTGGTCTCAAACTCCTGACCTCAGCTGATCCACCTACCTCAGACTCCCAAAGTGCTGGGATTACAGGTGTAAGCCACCACGCCTGGCTGTAACTATATATTTTTAATAAATTATATGGTCCAGTACGGGTAAACTGGTTGAAGATGGAGGGGTGAGGAGAGAAAGAGCGAGCAAGCACATGTGTAATTGTGCCTGTGTGTGTTATGTGTCTGCCTGTGTAGTGTGTGTGCCTGTGTATCTGGCCATTTCTGAGAGACAGACCCTTGGAGGGAACTCTATCACCTGCCATTCTCCTTCCTGCCAGTCAACAGAAGGATCTGGAGTTGGCATCAAAGAACCAAAACCTTTGATGTCAGAGCTCTGTTATTTAGTAGCTGTGCGACTGTCAGCTCTTGGCTTCAGTTTCATCATCTGCAGAATGGGATTAATCACGCCTCCCTCCTGTGATGATGGGCAGGACAGCCCTGTGTGGATGTCAGCCAACCCTTGCTAACTCAGGTGGAAGTGGGAAGGGCCCACCCAATGAACACCTCCCTACATACATGCAGATGCACACAGCGCTGGTGCGAAGGGCACAGGGGCCAGGAAACCTGGTCACAGACTTGACCAAGACAGCCTTGGTCCCTGCTCTCTGTGGGACTTTGGGTAAGTCCCTTCCCTTCTCTGGCTTTAGTTGGCCTATTCTACGTGACAAGCCAGTGCAAAACGGTGAGCAATGATTTCTCCTCTCTTAGGTTCCCGTGGGTGGGCTGGGGTTCCTGGCTGATTTTTCCTGGGCTCACCCGGTAGCTGTGCTCAGCTGGAATGTCAACGAGCCTGGAGGACCCTCAATGGCCCCACGCGTATGTCAGCCGTTGGCCTGGCTGCTTTCTGGGGGGGCTTTGCTTCTCCTCCAATAGGCTGTGTCACATTCCTTCATGGCGACTCGGGAGCAACCTAAGAGGGTGAAGGGAGAAGCTGCAAGGTCTCAGGAGGCCTAGCCTTGAACTTGGACATAACGTCACTTCTACTGCAGTCTATCGGCCAATCCAGGTCACAAGGGCAGCCCAGATTCTAAGGTTGGGAAATTAAACTTCACCTTTTAGAAAAGAGGCAAGGTCACGTTGCCAAGGACCTGCTGACCAGGAGGCTGCTGCGGCCATAGTTGGTCATCTATCCCAGAGCCTTGGCGTTTGAGGCCCCCCACTCTACTTCTATTCTACACGTAAGGAAGCAGAAGGCACCCTCCCGAGTCCCAGGAATCTCCCACACAAAGGTGCCAGCTGCCTCGGGGGAAACAGCGAACCGGCACACAAGCTGAACTGCAGTGAAGCACAGCAGGCTGCCTTGGGAATGACCACGTCTCACCAGCCCTGGCAGCATGGCCTCTGTGTGGGTAAATCACTGCGCGCCCCATATGCTGCGATGCTGCGCAGGGAAACTGGCGGCCTCTCTCCTGGAGAAGGAGCCTCGCTTGGGATCCAAGGCTCCCAATAGATAACTCATAATGTCTCTCATTTGCATAACACCTTTCAAGTCCTTGGGTTCATTGAACTCTTAGGAAACTCCGAGGGGAAACCAGACAGGAATTATGGCCTCCTTTTACTGATGAGGAAATAAATGGAGGCCCAGAGAACCAGGTGGGTGGTGGCTGGAAACAAAGTGAGAACGGTCAGAGACCCAGGACCCTGCTTCTCCTTCACACCATCCTCTCCCAGGTGGAAGTTGATGAGGGGGAGGGGCTGCTTCCTTTCCTCCTCTGCCCCCTCCCAGATTTCCCAGAGTGCACCTGTGGTCTTTGCTCCCCAGCCCAAGAGCCTGTGGGGGCCACTCAGCAAGAAAGAAATTCAGTGGTGCATCCATTCACATCCGGAAGGACCCCTGGTCTGCCTCCTGGGTGAGAACACCCCAGGGTCATGAGAGATGTCGTTTTATCCAGCCCTGCAGGTCCTGGGTGGCTCTCACCAGGTCTCCTCCCTCCTCCCCAGAATGCCACGGTTCCCTGGGCTATGAGCAGTAACCAAAGAGGACTCAGGCTCAGGCGCCCCAGACTCAGAACCTTTCTCCTGGAGAACATCTTAGGGGATGTCCGCCCTCCTCTAAAATGTGCGAGAGGCCAGGATACACAGTAAGGAAGGGGTACCCGTGGGGTTACCCCCAAGAGGGCCTGCCATCCACCACCCAGAGCAACATGGGGCATTCCAAGGTCCCTCCAGGGACTTCGCCAGTTTGCGGCTTGCTCAGGTACTCGGGGAAATTGTTCTTTTAGGAGGGGCCTGGTCTCTCTGGTGACATGCAAGGTGACCCCTGTAGGGTCACACAGAAGAGGCAAGTGAAGGCCCAAAGTCAGGACTTCTGGAGTGCCAAAGGGCAGTGCCAGTGTGGGGGAGGGGGCCACGGGTGCTGAGAGCCCGCAGCTGCAGGGAGGCTCCCAGGCCGCACCGGCTGCGCTGCAAACTCCTGCTGGCTCAGCTCTGCTCGGGGCTGACTCACCTTCCCTCTCCCACCTGTTCCTCTTTCACAGCCCTCCCACCTGCCTCCCTCCTCGTGCCGCTCCTCTGATCCCTCACTCCACGCTGGCTCCTGCGGCGCTGAAATTTGGGGATTGCTGCGTCTGGGGGTGTAAGAACCTTAGATGTCACAGAGCTTGGAATCGTGCAAACGGGCGGGCTGAAGGGGCCTTAGAAATGCTGCCAAGCCCTCCTCATCCCACACCAGAATCCCTGCAGAGCCAGGGCAGGGAGACCCCTCTACCCTGCCCTTCCCTCTCTTCCTCACTTCGGTCACAGCACCTGGGGGAACGGGAGTGGTGGACCGGGTGGAGAGAATGAAGAGAGTATCCTGCATGTGAAGAAAGGGAGGAAGACAGGTGGGGAGGAAGGGCCAGGCACAGTGGCTCATGCCTATAATCCTAGCACTTTGGGAGGCTAAGGCAGGTGGATCACGAGGTCGGGAGTTCGAGACCAGCCTGGCCAAGATGGTGAAACCCCATCTCTACTAAAACTATGAAAAATTAGCTGGGTGTGGTGGCATGCCTCCCAGGTCCAAGTGATTCTCCTGCCTTAGCTTCCTGAGTAGCTGGAATTATAGGCATGCGCCACCACACCCAGTGAATTTTTTGTATTTTTAGTAGAGACGGGGTTTCACTATGTTGGCCAGGCTGGTCTTGAACTCCTAACCTCTTGATCCACCCACCTCAGCCTTCCAAAGTGCTGGGATTACAGGCGTGAGCCACGGCAGCCAGCCTTCAATTTTTAATGACTACAGACTGTTCATAAAGAGGTTGGCCAGGCGAGGTGCGGTGGCTAGGATTTTGTTCATGTGGCCTTCAGAAGCTGGCAGGAGGTCTGGAGGAGAGGTGAGGACGGACAGAATGGGCACTTGGCAAAATTGGCCAAGCCGAGCTTTGCCCCTCCCCCGATCACTGGCCACCCCTCACTCCACTGACTTCCTGGAGCCTGCAAGGACATTCTTCACACAGCCCTGTGGGAATCCCACAGCCAGAAGCCGGTGCCTGGATCCTGGCCCTCAGCTCACACTCCGGCCCCACCCCCTAGAGATTCTAAAGGTCGTCTCAAGGTCATGAAATGAATACCTGTTGAGCATCTTCTGTGAGTAAGGAAGGCCTTGTTTTAGCAGAAAGCATTCAGCACTGAACCAAACCGACAAAGATGTCACTGGCACGTGGGTCCCCGCCCTTCAGCCTTGGGCTGAGAGTCCCGAAGCTGGCTTCTGGCTTGGGCCCTGTCACCGACGCCTGGTGGGACCATGGGCAAATCCCTGCCACTCCCTGCTCAGGCTTGGGACAGCAGCCGGGGTTCCTTGGCCATGGTCACTGGAGCCGGCCTGTGCAGCTGCAGGGGCTTTGGTCACAGGCCAAGTAAGCCAGAGCCCCTGCTGGGCGGAGGCTGCTGTCAGCTCTCACACTGCCTGCAGCGAGAGGGAGGCCAAGAAGAGACCCTTGGGTATCCCCAGTTTAGAGGAAGACAGGGATAGGGTGGGGGAATTAGAGATATCACACAGAGGAACAGCCACAGAGCCCTATCCAGAGTCAGAGCTCCTGACCTTCTGCCTGTCACCACGGTCACTTTCTCCCGGGATGTGGCCCCTTAGGATGAGGGTCTGGAGGCCAGCACCTCTGGCCTCCTGGGGCTCCTGCTAAGCAGGACAGAGGCTCAGCTCGTCGTCCTCCCCTTGCCACCCCCAGAACCTCCCCCCCAGGCCTGTCGGAGCCCCTCCTGCCTCGCCTTCTTCCGGGCCACCGTCTATACCTGGTGCAGGGCCTAAGGGTGAGTGCACACAGGCGGGAAGGGTTCAGGGAGAGGTGACAGAGCTGTGAGCATGGAAGGGACATTTCACGCTGATGTGGGAGGAGGTGACAGGGACAGGCTGTGACAGAGATGGGGAGGGAGAGGACAAACACAGAAAGAGGCACCGAGAGTCAGAGACAGAGAGAATGAGATAAGGGCTGCGAGAGGGAGGCCTCCGGAGCACCAGGGG